AAGAGAGAGAGAGAGAGAGAGAGAGAGAGAGAGAGAGAGAGAGAATGGTTGATAATGATAATTCATATATAAAATGAGATCATTCAAGTTTGTTTTTTGTTGTTGGTTTGGTTTGGTTTGGTTTTTATTTTTGCCAAAGGTTTTACTATACTGATGCTGTTGCTTTATGCTAATTGTATTTGTATTTGGTGTATCAAATTTTCTTTCTTTTAATTTTTTTTCAGGGTTTTTTTTTGTTGGATGAAGAAAGTAATAAGATTATTTTCCTTTTCTGGTTGTCGATGATGATGATAATGATAACTTTGTGTGTGTGTGTTTAAGGGAAACCAAGTTATTTATTTACAGCAATATTTCATTTATGGGGTTATTATCGTTAAACCAGAAAAATAACCAGAAAACCAGAACCAAAAAAAATTATTCATTTCAATTCTCTCTATTTGGGTTTTTTGATTAACGGATATCGATTTTTCATTGCGAAAATAAAAACGCAAATTTTTTCTTCAAGATGTTATCGCTGAAATATAATCTTTTTTCTTTTCTCATAAAATACAGAATCTACTTGCCGGTGCAATATATAATGTTTGGATTGGTTTTCCACTTTGTTGCCTGTTAACTGCTTGTGGTTCAACATTATGTTTTTTATTATCCAAATATTTTGGTCATTATTTATTGGAATATTATTTCCCCGAAAAACTTGATTATTTTCAAAAAAAATTTATCGAAAAACAACAAAAAAATGGTAATCTTTTTTGGTTATTAATATCATTACGTTTATTTCCAATAACACCAAATTGGTTTCTTAATATTGCGTCACCAATTGTTAATATACCATTATCGTTATTTTTTTTATCAATTTTATTTGGTAAGTTGACTATTTCCACCCAAACTAAAAAATTCAAAAAAAAAATTTGTTAATAAAAAACACTTACAAGGAAATGTTTCGGGAAAAAATTCCCGAAACATTTCCCATTTCTCTGTCCGATTCTAATTCTGATTTTTTTTTTTCGTTTTCTTTTGAATTTCTTCTCGTTTATTATAGGTTTAATGCCATATAATTTTATTTGTGTACAAACTGGATCGATATTATCTGAAATAAATTCAATGAATGATATATTTACAATCAAAACATTTATATTATCTTTATTCATTGCATTTTTGGTTGCATCATCAACATTATTGAAGAAAAAGATGAAAAAGACGAAGATGATGATGATGATGAAGAAGGAAGAAAATTCAATCACCGATACAAGTATAGCCAAACATAATGATGATGGTGGTGATCATCATCATTTTGGATCGAAACTAAAATCGAATTGAGAATTAATATTGATTGGGGGAGTTGTGGTGGTTTGGGGGATGGAGGATGGAGAGGATAATAGAAGAAGAAAGAAGATTCACAAAAAATTCTCCCTGTTTGTTTTTTTTTCGGAAAGATTTCTCATTATCGAAAACGACGACGACAATGAATCGATGAATCAATCGTGTAAATGAATCAATATGATGATGGTGTGATGATCAACAAAAAACATGGACATTCTTCTCGATCGACAAACACAACATTCACACACACACAACATAGCCATAAATATGTGTGAACAATAAGATTTTTTTTTCAATGAAAACCAGAAAGATTCCCTATTTTTTTTTCTGAAGAGAGATTACAAATCTTTTTTTGCTGCTTTTTTCATATATCAATATTGTCATTGAATTTTTTTTTTCTATTTCATAAAATGTTTGTATTTAACACTGAACACACTGAACACAAAACAAACGAAAAATACCCGAAACAAACATTTTTTGATGGTTGGTCCATCGGTTGGTTTATTGTCTGTTTGGATCATCATGATATGAAGATTGATTTAATTTGATTAACATTTTTTTTTCATTCATTCATTTCTCTCTCTCTCTCTCTCTCTCTCTCTCTCTCTCTCTCTCTTTGTGTTTAGCATCATTTCATATTGTTTTGGCTGTTTTTATTTTCCATGTTAAGAATCGTTACAATCATCATCATCATCATCACCCTCACACTTGAATGTTTTTTTTTCCCACAAAATTTTTTTCTCCTTCAAAATGAATAAAAGAATCTCATTTCATTTTTCTATTGGATCTTTTTTTTCATCATTATTATTACAACAAAAAAAAAGATTTTCTTCTCTCTCTCTCTCAATGAATGAAGAATTTGTTTACTATCAAATTATGATTTAGTTGAATAATGTTTCGTTTCGTTTGTTCAATTTTCATTTTGTTATTTGGTTTGATGATGATGGTGGTCAGTCGCAACGAAAATTTCATTTTCATTTTTCCATATACCATTCTTGTTAATCAATTTTTTTTTTTTGATTGATTCTTTCTTCATCTTTTCTCTTCTCCCTTCATCTGATGTTCTGGAATATTCTTGTTTCTTCTGATTCTTTTTTCAAGAGTTTCTTTATTTGATTGAATTATTTCGCAACATTGGAAATGTATATAGACTTTATTTTTTTCCATTCAACAAATGTAGTTATTTTTAAGGAAAATGTTTATGGTAAAAAGGGAGAAAAACAAAAATTTTTCAAAAGAAATTTTCAAAAAAAGTTTTGTTGTTGCTGGAATATTTCCGATTATTATGTAACCAAAAAAATGGAAAAAATAAAATAAAAAATTCTTTTTCTTTTCCTCATTCTGTTTTCTCAACTTTAAAACTACGAAAAGTGTGTATATTGACAAATCGTTTTTTTTGTTGTTGAAGAAAAAAAATGAAAATTCCGTTTTTTTTGCCTTAGAGTTTTTGATCGATTACCATCATACTCTCGATTCTTTTAGTCTTCTTATTCACTAAACTTATTCAACAACAACAACAACAACAAAAACATGCCAACAACAACAACAACAACAACATAATTCAAGTTTAAATGTTTTTTCTTTCTCTTTTTAAAGCAGTGAAAAGAAATTCAACTTTTTGTTGTTGTTGTTGTTGTTGTATAAAGATTACGTGATTCTGTAGGTTTTGTTTATTCGTGTGTTCTGTGTGTGTGTGGTGGGTTGGTTGGTTGGTTGAAAATGTCACTTGATTTTGTTTGTTTGTTTGTTTGTTTTGAAAAAAAAATCAAATTCACTTCAAGTGATGATTATGATGAATGTGGTGGTGGTGGTGATGTTTTTTGTTTGGAACAAAAAATTTTTCGACAAATTTCTCTTTTGGATTTCGCTCATTTTCACTCTTTTGGGTTTACTTTTGCGTTTTGTTTTGGGAAATATCCAAGGGAAAAAATTTTTCGGAAACTTTTTTTTTACTTTTTTTTTCAACAAAAACGCAATAATAAATGATTGAAAAGATATTTTTTTGATTGAGATAAACTTTTGGTTTGGTTTGTTGTCATCGTTATTTTCTTCTTTGGTTGATACACAAGAAAAAGATGCAGAATTTTTGATCACATGGAAAAAATGGATTTGCTTTTGGCTTTTGGCTGAATCTAACTAAATATCGAAGAAGAAGAGGAAAAATGACTGATTGGAAATCACACTGAAAGAATGGATAGAGGAAAAATCTTGTTTGTCGAGAGTGAGATTCTCTTTACGTCCATTCTCTTTTCTTGGTTTAGTTTTGACAACAACAACAACAAAAAAAAAACAAAACCATAAAGGCATATCAATGATGATAACAACAACAATCTTCTTTAAGATTTTTTTTTCCATTTCTTGTCAAGTGTTTAGATCAATATTGTTTTGCTTTCTTGTTTCACACACACACACAAGTTCACCTAAAATATAGGCAATTGAAAAAAAAATTTGTCGTTTTTTGATCGATCACCAATATCACAAATATTCTTGAATGTCAAGTAAGCAGGAGAGTGTGTGTGTGTGCAAGAATCCAAATGAGAGAATCGGTGAAGAATAATCAAAAAACGAAAACGAAAAATTCCTTAATTTCAATTCGTGAATAGACTTTTTGTTGTTGTTGTTATTGGATTCCGTCTGGTTTTTGCGAAAATAATAATAATAACAGGAAGAAAGCAAGAATATTCTTTAATGTTTCTCCGGCCAGCAGAACAAAACAAACAAATGAACAACGGTCTGGTCAAATCAAATCAGTGTTTTGACAATAGAAAATTCGTTTGATCACATTACGCACATCACATAGTCCAAACACACACCAAAAGCCATCAACATTATCATCATCATCATCAGTCAGTCAGTCAGTCGGTCGGTCGGTCGGTCCACTATTTCGACAAAATCAGGATTCAGTATTAGAAGAAAAAAACATTATAAACATACAAACAGAAAAATAGATTGCCATCATCATACAACGACAACGACAACGACAAATCACATTGCTATTTAATATTTATATTTAGATAAAGAAAAAACAAGACAAAATCGACGACAACGAAGAAATCAAAAACCAAAAAATACATTTTCTTTTCCTTCGTTGATGATGATAATGTAGATGATGATGATGATGATGATGGACAATTCGAACGAATGCAAGCAAAAAAAAAAATAACAAAAGAAAAGAAAAAAAATTGAAGAAGAAAAAAAACAGAAAAATTCACTCAAAATTCTGTTGTTGTTGTTGTTGTTGTTTCCTTTTGGAAACATCATTGCTGAAATGTTTTCTTTCTTTTTGGTCAAAATATGAAAATGGAAAGCAAAAAAAATCATTCAGTTGCAAAAAAAGCAAAGAATTCTGTCTTAGTTCAGTTATTCTTCTTCTTTTGATTCTTCTTCACTGACCATAGATCATCATGATAATGTTGATGTTGTTGTTGATGATGATGAACTTGAAACATAGGAAAAACTATGGTGGACAAGAGATTCTATCATTGAAGCAAACAAAACAAAAAACGAAAAAAAAATTTGCTGAAAACATAAAAAAAAACATTTTTCAACGAAAGATATTCGATCCAAGAAGATGGATTCATACGGGGGGAGGGGAGGTGGAAAAAGTTTGACATGATCCATTCATTTTTTGCTGTTTTGACACACAATGTTTTCGTTGTTTTTTGGTTCAAATTTTTTGCAATTTTTTTATTTATTTTATGAAAAAAACATTAAATGATGATGATGATCAAGATCAGATATAAATATAAGAATTTAATGACATCAAGAAATTCTTGTTGCAAAGAATTTTTCTTGAAATAAAATTCACCCTGTTTTAGTTTGTTTTGGTTGTTGTTTGTTTGTCGAACAACAGAAACATTCGAATTGAATAATATCGTTCGAATCTATTTTGACTTTGATTGTCGATTTGTTGATATTCTGTGTCTGTGTCTGTGTCTGTGTGTGTGTGTGTTGACTATTTTGACCCACCAAAAGCCAATTTGTAATGACAAAACTAATGAAATTATCTTTTAAAAATGTAAAGCAAAAGTTAATTTTAAAAAATGAAGATTTAAACTTGTCCATCATTTTGGCCAATGTTTTCATCATTTTGATTTATTCGTGCATTTGTTGTTGTTGTTGACATTGTTGTTGTTGTTGTTGCATTCAACAAATCCAAATCAATAATTTTCGAAGGAAATTCTGTTTGTAAAATAGATTTTGATGATGATTGTGGCGACATTGACGATGATGGTGGTGCGTGAACCAATGATAATTCCAAATTATCAATGACCATTGTTGATGATGGTGATGATCCGAAATTATCTTGATTATTATTATTATAATCATTTGTTGTTGTTGTCGGCGGCGGTAATGGTGGTAATAACAATGATTCAACCATATCATCATCATCATCGTGTACAATTATTTTACATGATCTTTGTTGTTGTTGTTGTAGCCTTTGTTGTTGTTGTTGTTGTTGTTGTTCAAAATTTTCAAAATTTAAATTTCTTTGTTGTCGAAATTGTTGTTGTTGATTTAGATTACATTTACCATATTGACTTAGATATGCTTCTTCACGTAATCTAGTGCCCATTGAACGACATTGAAAACAAAGTAAATATTTAAATGCACGACGAAAATCTTGATGAAATGTAACATATATTATTGGATTGAGCATCTAAAATTATGAAAAAATGAAAATGTTTTAAAATTTGAATCAAAAAAATGAAATACTTTTCACGTATAAACTGATGGTGGATGTTTAAAAAATGTGGTGGGAGGGGGGAAAAAAATTGATTGTGTGTGATGCGTGTAGATTATCAATTTGAAAATTTGAAAATCTCTCTCTCTCTCTCTCTCTCTCTCTCTCTCTCTCTCTCTCCACAAATTGAGGCAATAAAATTGTCTTCCATGATGAA